TCGTAAAAGAACAAAGTTGCTTATCCATTCAAATACTGTATTTGCGACATACTTCCATGTATATCGCTAGTACAATATTTGAAATTATTAATATCTGGTCGACAATTTTTGTTGGACTCATAGGCCTGTATCGGCACTTATAGCACAAGTAATAGCATCATCTAACAGGCAAGCATAGGCAGAAGTGAGGTGTTTGCCTGTGTCTAACTTGCGTTTTATTTCTAGGCAAAGAAGCAAAATATGCGGAAACGATTGACGAGGAAGAGATGGGTCAAAGAGCGGAAGGCCAAGAAAACTACTGGGACAAGGAACCGGATATTCCCGTTCACGCTTCCGTATTCGATATCTCCGAGCAGCCGTTCTCTGCCATCAACCCTACACTGCTCCCGGATTCGTTCGCGGATGCGCAAGACATGTAAGTTTCTGGTTTATGAAGTATGGAATTTGATTATTTTTGGTTCCGACATGCAGCATATGATGCTTATCCAATGATATTTTTGGTTGGGAACAGACATTATATATTTTCTTGACCTTAACAAAACTTGATGCAATCAGGGTTTCGCAAGCGATGCGTGTCCTGATTTACCGCACTCCCTCTCCCTCCCTCTGCTCTCCTCTCCTTCCTCTGCTCCCTTCCTTCATCTCCCCTCCTTTAACTAGCACTGATGATATTTTTTCGCACTTGAATTTAGTTTTATCACTTAGGCTCATTTTTCGTCATTTAGTGTGGTTTATAGAAACCATACACCTGAATTTGATATCCGTCTAATTAAATCAAGTTTTTTTTTTTGCCATTCACTTCAGACCTGTTATCTTTAAAGCATGATGGCACCTGTTTTTCTTGGATTTCGGTTGCACTGCTACAATGGATATTGCCAGCTCCATAAATCTAAGTATGCAAGCATAAGCCAATGAATTTAAAAAATTGTTCGATACAGTAACCTTCCTATTGGTGTTTTTGTTAAAAGCGGGTGGTCAGCCTCTTGGCGATCATGGTATTCGTCTCGTCTTCTGAAGAGATTACGAGCTGAATGGTTCCCCCGACGAAGCATCTTAACAAGGCTTTAGCTGCTTCGGAATGCCTTTGGTGTGTGTCTAACAGTCTCGGCTCTTCTTAAATGCTACCGTTCCTATGCCAAGTTATGGTAACTTACCGGTATTCATCGAATGCTTATTTAAAAATCACTAAAACTGAATATTCATACAATGAACTACATGATCTGCGTTAG